TTGGAGATTCTTCTCCCATCCCAGTTCATCAAATATAATCTCAAATTTAATAATAATAATAGCATTAGGAAAGGAACCAAATACATCTGGATAAGAAAAGGCCAAAATAAATTGATGCACTAAATTGAGGGAAAGAATGTCACTTTTGAAGAATAAGAAAATAAACAACTATCTTGCTAAACAAAAACAGGAGAACAAAAACAATGGCACTGACCCTCCCTACAGCCTTCCGTCAGAATTACATAACAAAATCCATATAAAAAAAGATAAATATTTCCCAAACTAATCAGTGGTTGAAACTTTGACTTGTGGCACCGATAGCCATTAAAGAGGAGCAATATCTGGGGCAGGAAAAAGAATCTCATGAATGGTGTCTCTGCCATTGTTATTGAAATACTCTTTTATTAATACTTTGTTATAGTTGTTTTACTATTGTAGTATATTTTTGTGGTTTTAGTTAACTAAAATAACCCTGGTTTCTCATTTATTGCTCTCTTCATTCTCCCAGCAGATATCAACTTGATGAGGTGTTTGAAACTTTAATCAGCAAAGCACCAGCAGGAATCATGGTGCGAACCTCTAGGATAGGCTGAAGGAACCAGAGCAGGAGGATTTACAAATTGATCCTAGTGACTGCCAAGTAAGAATCTCCTGTCTCTCCACAACCGTGCCTGTTTAACCAGACTGTAATGTCAGGACTGAGTACAAATTACTCAAGCGTAGAACGAACAGAACAGTCAGGTAATGGTGTTTTGTTTACATTATCCAGGCACATAATTCAAAAGCAGCAGGCGTGCTCGTAGTCAGAGGAACAGTGAAGGCTTGAGTCCAAACAGAGCAGCAGGAACAGTCAAACAATCCAGAGTCCTAATTCCAAGAAAAGACAAGGTCAGTAACTGGTTTCAGAACAAACAGATTAACAGCAAACAAATCTGACCTTGTAGGTCACAAAAGAATTATAACCTGGCACAGAACAAAAAAAAAACACAAATACACAGAATAGTACTCAGATAACCAATTAATAATTATCAGGTAAAGGGTTAAACAGAGTGAATTATGTTCAATGTGCAAATAACATGCTTTAATCGTTTATTTTTTCTAATACAGGAAAAAAGCAGACAAAAGTCTTTTGTGTCCAGTTTACATGGGAAACTCTGTACCAGGGGGTTGAAACAAGTGGCAAGTTGGATATGAGCTGGGATTTTTCTCAAAGAAATGACTAACACCTCAGTGACCTGATCTTACGGTTGTGGGAAATGTCCTCCTCCTGCCCCATTCACAGCACTCAAACACACTCTACTCAAGCATGCCCCCTCTTCAAATGACATCCAAGAGAATTAGTCTCACATGGTGGTCACAAAATAAGAGGATCTTGGTGTGTGTGGTGTTGTGGTGAAATCAGCGGTCTCAGAGGTTAAAGTAGGTCTGTTATGCAAGGAGACTTTTTTGGCGCAGACCCCATATGCTTATTTTGGTGCAAAAATACTACTCGGTTTGAAAAATAATGAATTCTGGAAAATTTTAATCACTGTGATGTTGTATAATTTTATGATTTATAGGAGGAAAATCCTAAGAGAAAGTCATGCATCTGCTAAGAGATGAGAAGACGTCCAATATTAGAAGTGGGCATGATTTTAAAAAATGTTTTAAAGAAGTATTTTATGCTAGCAAGGGTACATTTATTTGATAAAAAATACAGTAAACAGTAATTTTGTTAATGTGATGGAAAAGCTGATTTTTACCCCCCCATCCTTACTCCAGTCTTCATTGTCACACAATGCTTCAGAAATCATTTGAATATGCTGATTTTTGGTGCTTAAAAACATTTATTATTATTATTATTATTATTAACAATGTTGAAAACAGTCATGCTGTTTTGATGAAAATTCTTTACTTTAGCTATTAAAAGTTCAGTATATATTTAAAATAGTATTGTAAAGTAACAATGTAAAATCTTTACTGCTATTATTTATTTTTATTTATTTATTTTGGTCAATTTATTGCATCCTGAAAAAAAGGTTTTAATTTCTTTTAACAACAACAACTTTTGAATGGTAGTGTAAACATATTACTGCCACTCACTGTCAAGCTATCTACAATGTAGGCTACAACACATTTACTTGAACTAGAAGTCCATTAGCTCTAATGGAGGATGAGAAGTACAGGGAGGTCTCTATAAATGACCCTACAAAGCGGAGTAAATCTGCAGGAGTGCACAAAAACATAATTAAATGTCTGAAAACTACCTCAACAAAACTCAAGCTAGTTTTTTGTAACCTTTTTAAAAAAATTTTTTTTTACTTCTGCTTCTTCCCCACATTTCGAGACGGTGGACATTTGCTGTGGTGTAATGTGGAGCATGGCATAAAGAGACTATTTCTCCAAAAACTAGAAACCTAATATATACGCTCTCTTATATTAATCGTGAAATATTGTATTTTCCAACATAGAGAATGAAATCATTTTCTTTTATTATTATTATTTTTTATTTTGGGAAAATACATTTCTCTTTTCAGCGGACAAATCTGGGCTCGAGTCTACGTAGCATTAGCCAAGGCTAATATTTGTGTAGGTGAAGACAGTCGCCTAAATGAGCCATCCGTCGAAGTATTAGACGGTTACTATTTATAAGGAGTGGAGCGGTAGTCTTTGCATTCTTGGACGAAAGCTGCGGATCGCCCATGATGTCTCACATGGTGTGAAACGTGACAGCGTGATGCTGGCCTGGGAAGAAACGTGTGTCACTTCGCTTTAATTCAGTCTTTTTCATCTGAATGCACAAAGCCAGAAGAGTCGAGCCAACTTTTCCATATGACCATCAGCTGCCCCAATGGGAACAAACTCTGTGTAATACCAAATCACAGGAAATCATCACCTGCTTAACCTATTATAACAAAACCCATGCTATTACATAAGGGAACACACTGTTTCCCCTTGAGCTGGGCTAATTCTCCAAGAAAAATCAAAACATTACATGCGTTTAGGTTAGAAGGTAAGACTTTTTTTTAGCACTATCAGGAAGTCACTATTAAATACAATGGTTAGCAGTTCATGCACTCAAATACTCTACAGCTCACAAGTTTGGGTTCAGTAAAATGTGTTTATGCTCACCAAATATAATACAAACAGTAATGTTTTGAAATATTATTATAATTTAACAGTTTTCTGTTTTAGTATATTTTAAAATGTACTTTACTCCTGTGATGCCAAAACGGCACATTTTCAGCAGCCATTTCTTCAGTTTCACATGATCCTTCAGAAATCATTTGAATATATTTTTAACAATATCTGTAACAATATATGTAATGTATTCACTGTTATTTTAATCAGTTTAATGAACCCATCCTGAATAAAATACAATTAATAAAAAAAAACGTACTGACCCCAACTTTGAACGGTTGTGTTTGAATATGGAGTATGAAGATATTTTATTTCATTTGATTTAATGAAATTGTATATATGGTAGGACTAACTGGAAATAATTGACTATGTTGCATTAATATTCACATATTGTGCTTCGTTACTTATTCACCTTATTAAAGGGTCACTCCACCCCAAAATAAAAATGTTGTCATTAATCACTTACCTCCATGTCGTTCCAAACCCATAAAAGCTTCGTTCGTCTTCGGAACACAATTTAAGATATTTTGGATGAAAACCGGGAGGCTTGTGACTGTCCCATTGACTGCCAAGTAAATAACACTGTCAAGGCCCAGAAAAGTATGAAAGACATCGTCAAAATAGTCCATCTGCCATCAGTGGTTCAATCTGAATTTCATGAAGCGACGAGAATACACAAAGAAAACAAAAATAACGACTTTATTCAACAATTCGTCTCACCATTTTGGAGAGCCGCACCACACAGATATGCTGTTTTCGTTCAAATCAAAGCGTAAATAAACGTAGAAAACGTATCCGCGTGGTGCAGCTGACACAGACAATTCTTGTTCCAGTTTGGCACAACATCAATAAGCTTCTTAAACTGCGTGAATTGACTCTTTATTGGTTTACCTAAGCTGCCCAAGCTTTACTTGATATGGAAGTTCACACTCTGGTTGGGGGACTTTATGTGCTGTGAAATATTTAATTGAGACACTGGGACAGTTCCCAGTTGTTACAATGAGCAGTTGTTCAAAGAGGCTCATAACAGATGGATTGAGTGTCATTCCATGAGAGGTTTTTCATTTGTCGCACTGAATAAGCACCTTGTCGCACACCACGTACCCCTACAAACTTCCACAGCACTTAATCAGTAAATGCCAATGAGTTGTGAGATGCCACAGAAAACACGAACCTATCATATTCCTGTTTGCTGCCAGGATTGAACCTGGAAATGGTCCACAGTTCAGCTGATGTAGGATGATAACATAAAAGTTACCAAGAGAAGACAGAGACCTCTTTGAAAGCAGGACAGTCTCGTGCTAACGCACCCAATTGTCCTTTCACATGCTAAGCACTGTCTGTATACTGAAGATAAATATATTTCATGGATGATTTACTGTTTTTGCAGCATAAGCCTCGTTCAAGAGGTGTTTTGATGCAGAAGGTCTTTTGAAAGTCATTTAGGATAAAAAGCTTCTGTCAAATGACTGACACATTACCTGTTATTCTGTTTAGTCAGGTCTTCTCAAATGACTTTGAGGTCCATTCAGATCAGTTTGGATGAGAGTGTGTGTTTAGATTATGTTTGTAGCACTGAAACAAGGTTGTTTACATGTTATTAGCCTCAAGGTAAAGTTTTCAACCCCCAGTCAGGGCCTAGTCATGACGTGTGCATGGTGGCGTTCATTTGTTGTTTATTCTCCTCTTGGGAGTTCTCTGTTTCTTTACTCGCCATCGACTAAATTAGGCTACACAGTGTTAAAGCATATAGTTATTAGTGCGTATTATATCTAAATGGCTAAAAAGCATGAGAATTTAAAACAATGTCCTTTTCAGGTGGTTTGGATGTAAGGCCCGCCTCTTGTGATGTCAGCAGAGAATCATTGGGGTTTTTGGGGGCATTATTTAAAGGACTAGCTCTTTCCTCAATATTCAGACACCTCTGGAATATCATCCATAACGGAATTTAACTTTTTTTTTTCTATAAAGCTTTTAAGGCTGAGGAAACGTCATCCTACACAATATCTGTAAGTTGGATTTAATCTTCATAGGTTGATGATTTTTGGCTGTTTGGTGCTTTTTAATAGAGCTAATTTTATATATCCAGATATGCATTTTTTTTCTTTTACATTCTTTCTCTCTCTCTCCTTCTCCCTCATTCGGGAGTGGATTAACTGAAGTATGCAGTTCCAAAGGAGCTGTTTGTGATGGATGTGTCTGGGGAGATTACATTTTTTTTCTGTATCATATCTGATTTCACTTCTGTGTGCAAAATAAATATTACAACACCCAGATAAAAGAAAAAATGAAGATAAATGTCAAAGCCTTAGACGATTAATTTTCTTTTTTAAGAAACAAAAAACCTTTATAAAAATGATTGAAAAATGGGGTTTATTCATTGTTGTCTGGTATATTGTTCTTTTGTCTCAACAGATATCTCCATTAACCATGTCGATGTGGTTTGCTGTACTTCATGTATTAGGTAGGAAATTGGTTTGTTCAAAGTGATTGTTTCCAAACATTTCTTGTGTGTTATTCTGAATTATCACCATGATGCACAGATTTCATTGCATTATTTAAAAAAAAATTCCCCCCACAGGTATTCTGTCTTTGACCTGTTGCACATTTGGATCTGATTTAAATGGTCAGTGAAAGTCCATTTTTAATTCTCTTTTTTTCATATTAAATAAAAGGAATTGAGTTACATTAGAGAAAATATTAAAACAAAAAACTAGGGCCACTTTATTTACATTTTTATGTAACAAATGGCAAACACTTTTTTACCAGTTTTAATTTAGTTTATTTTGTATTAATGAATTATTAGCAAAGAGACCATTTGTGGAAAAATAGTTTTCAAGTTCACTTTTTTTTGGTGACATATTTGTTTTAATTGACAGATACATAATCATTATACGCGTAATATCTTACGTTGTACATTTCTTAGTTCCAACACCAATTAGCTGTGGAACCCGTGCGGTGGATCTACCAGACACACGTCAGATAGTGCTCTGCCCAGCAAACTGCACTCTCTGGAGTCTGTCAGTGTTTGGTTCAGGAGTATATGCCTCTATTTCCAGCATATGTGGAGCAGCAGTACACAGGTACAATCACAGAAATAATAATCATAAAGTTACTGACTAGCTAGAATTATTTAAGAACGTTTTTGTCTGTCATCCAGAGGAATCATAGGTCTATCTGGTGGACCTGTGGAGGTTCACAGGCTGCAAGGGAGGACAAACTACCTCAGCTCTTACGCTCATGGCATCCAGTCTCAATCCCTGTCCCAATGGAGCTCATCTTTCACTGTGGCCAGTGAGTGGAGACGATTACGATTTGCGTCATTACAAATGCTAGTGTCTGTTTTGATTTAGAATTTGTAGATTTGTTTACAGATGCAAAGTTTTATAGACAATAGAGTAGTGTTTACTCACTGGCTCTGCACAGTCAAAAATAAAAATATAATTTCAATATAATTATATTAATATTGAATTTGAACAATAATATTAGAGTTAGTGTAATTAATCAGAATATCATAGAATACATTGTTCTTGTTGAACCGAACATAAACACTTACTAAACATAATGGTGCTGTTTAAAAAAGATATGCTACTAATCTCAATAACTATGTCATAATGTTAGGAAAAGTGTGGCCAGTTGGTCTATGTAAATAGTATAGTGTATAAAATGATATAGAATATTAAAGCGAATTTATCAACACAGATTTATCAGGTTACATTTTTTCTTCTTCTCAGGAACAATTAGCTTGCCTTTGGAAGTGTCCAGTCAAACCAGCAGTTCTGCCAATGTTGCATCTGGAGCAGGTAACAAGCGTTTAGATCACTGGAAACAATTGACGTGTAGTCTACACTGAGTATCCTTACTTCTCCCTTGCAGCCAAGAAACCAGTAAAAAAGACAGCGAAGAAACCTCCTCCTCCAACAACAGCAAACAGGGGTCTGTATGACCTTTTCTAATACAATTTAAATTGTTTGTCAAAGCAAAATGATGATCATGACAAGAAAGAGCTGTGTCAATGTTGTTCCAGATTGCCCAGTCGATATGGCTTTGCTGCTGGATAGCAGCTACAACATTGGACAGCGGCGGTATAATCTGCAGAAGAACTTTGTCAGTAAGCTTGTAGCCATGCTGAAGGTTGGAACACCAGGTCCTCATGTAGGAGTGGTGCAAACCAGGTGATCTGTGCAAATCCTAGTTGTTTGTCACATGGCCGTTTAGCCATTTTTTCCTTTGTCAGTGAATACAACTTCATGTTTTTCTTTCCAGTGAGACACCTCGAACTGAATTCTACTTGTCAAACTATACAACAGCCAAAGATCTGACTTTTGCCATCAAAGAGATCCCATACATTGGGGGCAATACCAATACAGGTCTACAGCCTCACCTTCTATTCACATTTCAAATGAATAATTGGACGAAATGAATCTAAATCATGCTATTTTTTGGGAAAAGTAAAAAACATGACACAACAAAAAATTGCCATTGACAGTAAGACATTTACAATGGAAATCAATAGGTCCCGGAATACATGTTAAAATACACACCTTTTTGAAAGTACAACTACAAGACTTAAAGAGAGTTCATTCAAAGATGAAAATTCTGTCATTTTCTCACCCTCAAGTTGTTCCAAACGGTATGGATTTCCTCCTTCTGTTTAACATAAAAGAAGATATTTTGAAGATTGTGGGTAACCAAACAGTTGCTGGTCCCCGCTGACTTCCATCATGTAGAAATGATGACAGAATTTCATTTTGGGGTGAGCTACTCTTTAAACATTTAAAGTCAATATGAAAGAAAAACCCCGTTTTCAGTGCTACCAGCAACTTTGCCTATTTTTGCTAAAGAAAGCAGTTCTAAATGAAGCCACAGCATTTGCGCATCTCTGGGAAACAAACATCAGTGTTTTGAACTAATTGGTTGAGTGCATGATTTAATAACTCAGTCATAAACATTCCTGAACGAAAGAGTGTTTTTTTTTAAACAAATCGGTTGAGTGAATGATTCAGTTACTCAAAGGCAGTCAAGTTTTGTGGAACTGGTTGAATAAATTAATCACTTAAAAAGAGAGTCACTTGTTGCTACTGGTATAACAATGCAGCATGCAAAAATGTTTACATTTGTGCTTTGAAACCTTTAAAATCCCTTGCCCCATAGACTTCCGTTGTAAATGCATTACTCTAAATGCATTTTTATTTTTTTTTACAGTCAGTATGCTTTTGTTTGATAATTGACAGCATGTCATAGTGTCAATATAGAATATCTTGTATTAAACTCATTCCTTATATCTCTGACACATAATGGCTTTAGTTGGATTGATTTATTATTGAAGGTGCTTTGGCTTCAATAAGCAGAACTTGGTAGGCTTGAGTTATTGCCTTTTGCACAGGTAAGGCCATACTACACACTGTGAGGAACTTCTTCAATCCGGATTTTGGTGTTCGGAGAGGTTACCCACGGGTCATTGTGGTGTTTGTCGATGGGTGGCCTTCTGATAATGTGGAGGAGGCAGCAATTTTAGCCAGAGAGTCTGGTATTAACATCTTCTTTGTGTCTGTGGCCAAACCTGCTCCTGAGGAGATTAGCCTGGTGAGCGAGCAAGACTTCATGAGAAAGGTAAGATGTTTCACATATGAAAAAAACACAAATATTTATTGGTAACATCAGAGTTTTTCTGAAATGCATTTATACCGACATATATCTGACAGGCGGTGTGCAAGGACAACGAGTTCTTCACCTTCACCATGCCCAGCTGGTTCAGCACCAACAAGTTTGTGAAGCCACTAGCGCATAAACTTTGCTCCATCGATCAGATGCTCTGCAGCAAGACATGCTATAACTCAGTGAACCTGGGCTTCCTGATTGATGGCTCCAGCAGTGTAGGTGATGGGAACTTTCGGCTTGTTCTGGACCTTCTTCTCTCTATCGCACGCAACTTTGACATCTCTGACATCGGCTCTCGCATCGGTGCCATTCAATTCACCTACGACCAAAGGATGGAGTTCAACTTCAATGACCACACCACAAAAGATAATGCTCTGAGGGCCCTGCAGAACATCCCCTACATGAGCGGAGGAACGGCCACGGGAGACGCCATCAACTTTGCAGTGCGGAGTCTCTTTAAACCCCGCACAGGCCCCAACAGGAATTTCCTCATTATCATCACTGATGGACAGTCTTACGATGATGTGAGAGGGCCGGCTATGGCCGCCCAGAGGGAGGGTATGCTTTTTACACTGACATTTCATCTAGAACCTGGGTTTGCAGGCCCCTGAGGGTCCAGGGGGTCAGTAGAGAAGATCATGTTCTTATTTAAAGTTATAATTAAGTGTTACCAACAAAATTAAGTCTTATTTGTATAGTGATGGTCCCTGAGGTGGTAAGGGTGTAGGTGGGGGTCCCTGGGTCTGAAGTTCTAGAACATTTAAGAGCTCTAAAAAGCACTTTATCTCTAATGCACAAAATATCAATAGTGCATTTACAAAGTAAACAAGTGTGATGAAATCTTGACCATGTTCTAATTGTTTCTTCACAGGAATCACTGTGTTTACAGTGGGCGTAGCTTGGGCTCCGATGGAAGATCTGAAGGCGATGGCGTCCGAGCCCAAGGAAAGCCATGTGTTTTTCACTCGCGAGTTCACCGGCCTTGCGCAGTTCCAGCAGCCCATAGTACGGGGCATCTGCAGAGACTTCACAGAGTTCAATTAGACAGTGCAACTGCTTAAGTGCAAGAACAGAAAGTAAGACGTGCAGGAAAGGAATTAAGTGTTACCAACAAAATTAAGTCTTATTTGTATAGTGATGGTCCCTGAGGTGGTAAGGGTGTAGGTGGGGGTCCCTGGGTCTGAAGTTCTAGAACATTTAAGAGCTCTAAAAAGCACTTTATCTCTAATGCACAAAATATCAATAGTGCATTTACAAAGTAAACAAGTGTGATGAAATCTTGACCATGTTCTAATTGTTTCTTCACAGGAATCACTGTGTTTACAGTGGGCGTAGCTTGGGCTCCGATGGAAGATCTGAAGGCGATGGCGTCCGAGCCCAAGGAAAGCCATGTGTTTTTCACTCGCGAGTTCACCGGCCTGGCGCAGTTCCAGCAGCCCATAGTACGGGGCATCTGCAGAGACTTCACAGAGTTCAATTAGACAGTGCAACTGCTTAAGTGCAAGAACAGAAAGTAAGACGTGCAGGAGGAAAAAATGGCAAGCCTGAATAAGAAAAATCACCTTTGTCTTGTGCAGAAAAAGGGATTTGAATGGTTTTGTTATAAAGGTATTGGTACGTTTGATCCAAAGGATTTTACAGCTTAATTGAGAATGTATCACACAGTATTGTATGTCAACCTCTCTATAATGTGGAGAATGTAATTATTTGAGATTTATAGTCTTTCTCTTTATGTTCCTGGTGAAAAACATTCACTCGCTGCTTCTGGCACGTCTTTTTCCTGTGGAGGGGTCACTGTAACAAAAGGCTCTTTTATATTAATTTCGGGACTTGAAGATTAAAGTCTAGTTATGCAGGTTGTGCAGAAGATGGTAAGCAAAAGCAGTCATGATGAAGATTGTCAGTGAAACAGCGCCCTCATATGCATTCTGATGACAGTACACAAATACTCAGCTTTCATTCACACAATTGCATAATTAGATCTGGGTTATATAATAAAATATAGTACTTCCCAGGAGTAGCACACAATATACATGCACTGTAGTACATTCACAACATCACAATCACGTATGTCTGGATGTGCGATGAGAATTACGGTTGAGAAGTTCACGTTTTTATTCTATATGTTTTCCTTTTCTTAAATTATACTTTAATGTATTTAACCTATTTTCTGTGTACCTTTCCATATGCATGCTATACTGTCTCAAGTAATGAAAACAGAGGGGAGGAGGGGGATCAAACTGCTTGTACATTTGTTTATAATTTATTACTTTCTTCTCAATAAAAGACAAGGCGTTTGTACAACTTGACCAGCTGAACATCTTCCTCATCTGAACCGGCTGATCATCATCAGAAACCAACATATTCAAAAAACACGTGTATTAATTTGTGTCGTAGGCGGTTTGTCCAATCTCAGTAAAAACACGTACCATCTTTATTAAAATCGTGAATCCTGCCAATCGTCATTCGTCAATCAAATATCGTGATAAATACGACGCTGCATTAATTGTCGAGACAAGGGGCATGTTGCATATACAGATACACCATTTAATATTTATTATAGACATTTTATATACATTACTTTTCAACAGCTGTTTTGCTATGTGGTACAATCTTTAAAATCTGTTGATTCGTAGTAAATCAAAACCTTACAAAACTCATCAAAACTCTTCAAACTGATCAGAACTCTTGGAAGACTAGAAAAAATATTTTATTGTAGTATTAACCATGCATTACACAAACAAAAAGGTCTTTTGTTACACCATAAACTGCATTGTTTCCTTTAAAAATCATTGAACAGATTGGGGCAGAACGACCAAACCAAATATTTCGACTACATTTGATTGATTACTCCAATCCCAAAAATGAAAACTATCAATTACTCGCCTTCATTTCATTCCAAACCTGTAAGGTACCCAACATTCCACTGAGTTCCATTTCATTCCTCAAAATAGCTTTTGTGTTCCAATTATACAGGTCTGTAATGACATGAGGGTGAGTAAATGATGACATTAGAAAATAATGTGTTCATTTTGGGTTGAACCATCCCTTTAACTTATCGCTTCTCTCCTGATCTCCAGCATCATGAGGTGAATTTAAACCCCGTTTTCAGCCAACCAAGAAACGGCATGAGCTTTCACATAAACCTATATACGTTAATTTCCTATCAGATAACCTGTTCGGTTTGGTTAGCGACAGCCCAATCTTTGAGTTACCATCAAGCTATGCTCTGAAGGATAAGACTATCCACAAACAGAAAATAAATAGTGTTCGGATATCTAACCTGTGATACTTAAACTCATTTTACAGTAAGGTGTACAGAAACATCACATAGTGACAGGATGCTGCAGTTTATTTGTAAATTCCTAAAAGCTCTCAGGGCACCACACGATGTGCTTCTACTAGCGTACAGTCTCTCCGTTATGTGATAAAACAATGTTAAAGCAATGTAGTATGCCTAAGGAGAGCACTCATCCAGGGTTTCCAGAGACACAAGACCTTCCAGAAGAAGAACCGCATAAAATTGAGGGCTTGAGCGGGATTATAGTCCCTTTAAAAAATGTGATTTCCAGCGGTTTTATGACAGTCTTTATTTATATAAAATTGATTATAAAAACTATACTTTTTTACACAAAAAAATGAAACAAACGCTAAAGGTATGAAGGTGGACTGAGTTTAACGGTATTCGCTTGCACGCTACATTAGGGTGAAGAGGGTGACTGAGATTGGGGTCTGGTTTATGGCTCGGCAGGGTGGGACTCAGTTCCTCTGGTGCCCGGATGATGGTCGGTGACAACCTACTGTTGGATGAACATGATAACCACTCCATGGTCACTGAAACATACCTACAGGACACATTATCAGCTCAGTTTTTGAAAACCAGTCAAAAGGCTACAAACGCTGGTTTCACTCCAGCTTTGACTTACAGTAAATTACAGTTAATGTTTTTCTTTTTTTGAAGAAAACAAAAAAAAGATTAAAACTGATTGAGCACTCCACACTGGCTTCGCAAAAAAAACCGGCATGTCCCCCTCTTGGCACCTGGTATCGTGTGTGTGTGTGGTGTGAGTTTGACAGCGTAGGTGGAAGCCACTTCAATGTAGTGTGAGAAATGCTACTCTTGTTACACAAGGCAGTGAAGCAGTCCTTTCTTTCTCTCATCTTTACGTATGCATTAATTCGGAGGTGCTTTTATACAAACACTTTGGCCAGGGCATCGGCTCCAGCACTTCCTATGTATGCCTTAGATGGGTGGAAGGCAACGTCGTATATGGCCTCGTCTGACTTTTTCCTGTGCGCAGTAACCTCTTGTACGCATGTCTTGCTGTCCATGTTCCACAACCGGATGGAACTATCATGACCTGTGTTAGACGAAAAAGAGACATTAAGTTTATATTTAAAGGGACAATTCAGCACAAAAAAACATTTAAAAAAAAAATGTATAGATCACTATGACTTTCGCTGATACAGTAGCAGAAGAAGAAGAAAAAACCACTTACTTCCTGACATCAAGTAGATGCCATTTGGATCTATAGCCAGACTAGTAACAGCATCCAAGTGAGCCACCATTGCATGAATGGCTTTACCTACAAAGAGAGATGGATGGAAGGGGATTAATAATCCCAAACATGACTTCAACAAATCATTAACTTTTCTCTGGATATTTGTGACTTATGGCTAAATATAATTGAACAAAAATGTTTTATGAACAAATAATACACTGAAATATTTTCTGAGATTTTAAATAAACAACTAAAACAAAATGGGAGTATAAAAAGCATAGTTACGTAAATTATGAATATAATTAATAATATTAAAAACGACAAAAAATTCAAGACATACAAAAGTCTTTTTTTTTTAAGAAATACAATTTCTTCCATTCAGCAAGGATACTTGAAATTGATTTATAATATTCCACAAGATTTCTCTCAAATTAACTCTGTTCATCAAAGAATTCTGAAAAAAAGTATCATGGTTTATACAAAAAGTTTAAGCAGTGATTTTGTGCTGTAATAATAAGAAATGTTACTTGAGCACCAAATCAACATATTAGAATGATTTTTTTTAAAGATTATGTGACACTAAGACTAAAGTATCTTTAGATTTGAAAAATGACAGTTTAAAAATATTTGAATGGAAAACGTAATAACATTTCACAATACTATTGTTTTACTGTATTTTTCATCAAATAAATGCAGCTTTGGTGAGCATATGACTTCGTTCTAAAACACTATAAAAATCATACTGACACCAAACTAGTGAACAGTAGTGTATGAATATTTTATAATGACACACAAAAAAAGAAAACTCGCCTGATTTATTATCAAAGAATTTGATGTGTCTATCCTCGTGAGCGGTGACTGTGATTGGCAGGGTGGGGTGGTTGACTACTTTATTAATGTGATTCCCAAAAGGAATAGCTGCAACAAAGCAGAAGAGAGTAAACATGACAAATCCAATTCTCATGCTCCTGTAATTAAATTACTGAACTATATATAACCATCACATATCCACAAGTGTACTTTGTCTTTTTTTAGAACAAATGTGAAGGACGTACCGCTCTCGCCCTGTGCGGAGAATACCACGACGGGCTGTGATGTCTCTAGATCATAAATGACAACATCTCCTGTGTTGTAGGATGCCACCATATGAGCTGGATCACACCCATTGAAATCAATTGATGTGGGAACACCATGATCTGAAAGACAGGAAATGCAGAAATTAGTTTGCCAACACTTCATTGATTACAGAACAGTGCAAACAAGATACATTATGCTCACCTCTATCTGAGTTAAATGTGCTGAGACACGGTGACGTCCCTTGAGGGTCCCACAGCTTGATTGTCCCATCAGCTGAACAGGAGAGCAGTCGCTCTTTGATTCCACTGTAAGCCAACCCCCACACTGCATCACTGTGACCCAACAACGTACCAGCCAACACGCTGGGGTCTGAGTGAAACAGAGGACACACATAGAGCAGGTTTCCTCCTTTTAAATTCTTGCTTGTTTTTAAGTTTGATCAAAATAAGATGTGACATAGCCACATAGATTTTATCTTCTCACCATATGTGTCGTAAGGGTCTACGTTAGAGCTGGGGATGTTCCACCACTGTATTGTTGAATCGATTCCACCACTAAAACAGTGCTCGCCGCTCGAGGTCACAGTCAATGAGAGCACAGGCCCACTGCAGCAACAAATCATACAGGTTAAGAGGATTTGTGAGACAAAATATTACTGTCTGAAAAACTGAATTGGTGGATTCAGCAGATTACATTATTGTTTATTCAGGGGCCCTAAAAAAGTGCTTAGGGACACATCAACATTTTATGGATGTCAATGCATTAGAAAAGAAAATATCAAATCAAGTGCAATTTTTTTTTCTGGTAGTTTATGAAAAATGTTGTGTCTAATGCAATGATACTCAAACACTTAAATGTTTCTTGTGCGTCCAAATACTTTCTGGGGGCCACGAAGGTGCATTAATTGAAATGCATAGTAATTAGGGCTGCACGATATTGGAAAAAACTCACATTGTGATATTTTGTTTTTCTGTGATATATATTGCGATATGAAAAAAAAAATAAAAATCCCCAGATGAATTGAATAGCTCTATTTGGAAAAAAATAATCAATGATTGGGGTGATTTTGTAGGTAAGTAAATCAGCATAGAAAATAAACAAATTACAAGCATAGATAAATATAAAAGAACAAAGATACAAATGAAATAAACAGTGCTTTATATTTTTTCAGGTAAGTCTAACAGTATTCAGGTACAGAAATTGCAAAATAACACTGCATACTCTTCACTGTATAAATCTGTGTTAAAATCTGTTAACCATAAGCAACTGTGTTTACAGGGATACTTGCAGAGACATGCATTTAGACAATTTCGTGCGTATGTGTCATTTCAGGCACAAATAGAATTCAGTGTTCATGTGCGGCTCTCACCGTGTCTACACCGGATGCGAGCGGCACGGTGCGACGCGACAAAACTCATGCCTCGTTCTATTTATGGTGTACTGGCACAAAATTCAAATGATTAGCAAAGGTCGCATTGTCACGTCCAGAGTAGACTATAGTTGTTGCGGCGCTGGGCGGCAAAACACGACAGCTGTCGCATCCGGTGTAGAGACAGTGTCTGTGTGTGAGCAAAGAAACCGATCAGTATAAATATAACGATCAGTATACTAAACATCAAACATCCTGCAATGTGACTATCGCGGCTGCGCACATCGCAATATCGCTGCTGAAACGATATATCGTGCAACCCTAACAGTAACACAATATTTTAGTCAAACAGTGCCAGTAGTTTTTGTTAGTTAAAGTCTTGCCCTGATCAGCTATATGTGTGATGTGGAAACATCCTAGAGCAACAACAGTGAAACTGTAGACCACACATGCTCACGGGACAGGACCGAGATCTCAGAGTGTAAATATCATGTGCCCTCATTTAACACACTCACTTATCCAGTTCCAAACAACAGCAATGACTGAAGAGAAGCTGGTCAAGAGCTTTATGACATAGAAAGGTGCACTTTTGCCAATTAAAAAAAAAAATTAACCCTAAAGAAATAAAAAGCCCTTTTGAACAATATAATGTATCCTGACACATGAGACAAAGATATCCAAGTCTTCTATAAAAAGCAATTTGTTGAAATGATTTTAAAATAAGACAAAAGTATTAAAATAAGCTAAAATAACAAATCTAAATATTTCTTTTTCTTTTAATTCACCTCCTCAACAAATGTTTTTAGGGACCAAGCCCGAAGGGCTGTAGTCCCTATTGTATCTGAATGTTTTTTTTATTATTATTTTTCTCCAATGGTAGTCTATGGCAGCCCTATGAACAGAACATAGGAAAATTATAAAAATTGGCACAAATGTAGTGATGGCCATGAATAGTGATCTGACCAACTTTGGGGTCTCTAAGACCAACTCTATAGCGCCACCACCACCTTATAATTTTTGAACAGTTAGTCAGAAGAAAATCATGATCTTTGTGTCTATGGATTCCTTGGGTAATGCCGAATCTGAGGATATCAATTTTGCCATGCTAAACCATGTGTCCGCCATTTTGAAATTTGACATAAATTGCTATATCTTTTGAACCATTTGACATATGTGCTCAAAAATCATCAGTGGCCTGTTCTGGAGGCACCTGAGATGTTTGAAGACAGCGCCACCTAGTGTTCCAGAGATATAATGATTTTTACAAAAACACATAACTTTTGAAAACATTATCCAAATGATATTGTTTTAATATCATTCCATTCTCTGGGTTATGCCGAGTCTGACAATGTCTAATTTGTCATTTTCCATGAATGTGCTTGCCAGCCATATTGAAGTAAATAAAGTTTTTTTGCTACTCCTACAAATTTTGCCCAATTTTGTCCAAAATCTGATCGTATGATCTTTGGACCGTGCCACATAGAAATGACTGAATATAGTTTTGATATTCACTACCATTCCCAAGAAATACCTCTCCAAAGTAGACCGTGCTGTGTTTGTTGTCTTATGCTATTAAGCTTAATATGCTAATAAGTTACAGGCTAACCAGTTACTATGCTGTTTAATGTGACTCTTCAGCTGTCAAGTTAATCATAAGCTTCATTACCATTAACTTAACTTTGCATATTACTCTGGTTAAAATGCTAAAGAACTTCTTTTGGGAGCTCATTCTCACACCTAAACCTCTCCTCAACAGCCCGTTGAATGTGCGTCAACTGAATGGCACACTCTGCTAAGCCACCTGCCCCCGAACCTTTCAGGCCATGGGTTTGAATCCAGTGTGGCATATTCCCAGACCATCATA